CCCGGCCATATCTCCCAGTAGTAATGAATTCTGTACAATACTCCTTAGTGGCAGCCCTGCCTGTACAGTGTATATTCTGTATATAGAGTTTGTGCGTGCGTCTGTGCAATAGCTCTGCAGCGACTGTGATGGACTGAAGTACTAATGTATAGTAGAAAATATTAGTTTAAAAAAAAAAAAAAAGAAAAATTCATCCAAGCTGTCTCCTGTTTTGGGGTCTCAGTAGGTAATGAGGAGCTTTATTTGTTCAGGAATCGAGTTTCTCTACAGAGATGCTATTGAGCATGTGTGTCCATGGACGTCAACAGTGTTTTCTCAGTCTCCGTTAGCCATCTCTGCTCACCCTTTCTGTTCGGTACTTCTGTGAGACTGCTCAAAGGACATAGGTGTGCAGTGAAATAAGGGAAGCTTTCACCTGTCCCTAATGTCACCACATTTCTCTGCATGTTTGCTTTGATCTGTTAAAACCCCACCACATTTGCTAACTTCTGCTGAGGCCAAGCTCTATTATACTAACTCAGACCTACCAATAGTCCTCTCTTTTCTTTTTATGTAAAGGCTGTAGCAGTTCCTTTTCTTGCTTATGCCTGCACTGCAGCAGGGTGGCCTCCTGTGCTTCGCCTGCCTCAGGTTTTTCTTGGATCCATAGTGCCAATCAGCAGGGCTCTCGCCCATCGCCAGCGCTCTCATCCTCTTTGGGAAACTTCTCCCTTGGGGTTGTTTAAGCCCAGCCTCGTGAAGGGCAACTCAGACCCGCCTGCAGCTGTGTGGCCATCTGCCCTATCCACAGCAAGCATTTCGTGAGGGTGGAGTGTCCTGCAGCCAGAAACGCCAGGAATAGCTGCCCATCCCAGCAGCTTCTCCCACTAGATTTTGGTCTCGGCCTGATGCGAGGTCCCAGTCTTTCCGGTTCATCGATTCTCACTCACTTTGGCTCTGTTAACCACTTCTTTCTCTACTTTACCTTCTTGAATTATGTTTTGACTCTTGCTCCGTTCACAAACAGTTATCTCCCAGTGCGGTCATGTTCTCAGTACTTTGAGGGACAGCTATCATGTTCTTTGCAAATGGGAGAGCTGACAGGATTGCTGCTCCATCTGTATGTGGGTTGGGAGCAGCTGCCTGTTTCTAGAGCTGTGTCTCCAGCTCTCCTCCCCGTAGATGTGGTTGCTGCTCCTTGTTCCCAAAACACGAGAGAACATTGTCCCCCCTCTGCTGAGGGAAGCTTTCGTCTGATTTCTTCTGTTTCCAGCACTCTTTTCAACCTGTAGGAACTGCTTGCACTGGCAGATCCCCTTGCTGCTGATCCTAGAGAGTTAGGATTCACGTCAGACTGCCGTCTTTTTCCCCGTTTGTAGCCAATTGAACGCTTTTGGTTCTTGTGTTGTGGTTGCCGCTGCTGTATTTATCATTTCCTCTGTCGCTCCTCAGTTATGTTGCCGCTCCTTAGAGGATCGGTTTCTCTTTGGCGGCTTCTGGTACTCCAGAGACCCTGGCACTCCGGGGTGCAGCTCTTCACCTGCTTCTACCTTTTAGGTGATTTGGGCTTTTTTTCATCTTGGCTAGCTGTTGTTTACTTTTAGCACCTTGCATACACACTATTTTATCTCTTTCCATTTCACTTAGTTGGAATTGTCGCAGCCCTACCAACACGCACCCTGATTGTGCCTGAGTTACTGTATTGGCGGGGATCTGCCCCACTGTTGTCCAAAAGGGGTTTTCACAGAAATGTGATGGTACTGAAGGGTCACCCCTGTGTTCAGTCATGCGATTTGCATGACTTCTGCTCTTGCAATCTCCGTACTCTGCTCCTGCTCTTCCTTTCCTCTGGGAGATCTGATGGGAGTGGGATTCAAGGTCGACCCAACCTCTGCTTTGTCCTCCCCCTCATTGTACGCCTCTGCCTTTATGCTGCTCCACCTGTTTGCTCTCATTTCTGCTTGCACAGTTTTTGCATCCTCGAGGTTCATTCGTATTTCTCCCAGCGAACCTTGGCCCAATTATTTTTCTCTCCCGGACAACTATTGGGGTGAGGGCCATAAATGCTTCTGGCACTCACCTGGGATCCGCGGCAGGCAGACTCTGGGTGGTTCTTCCCTCACACTGTCACAGCCTTGTGACTTTTATTATGCCTAAGCAAACACCTGGTTGCACCTTCTGACAGTGATTCATCCTTCACATCCTGAATGTGCACCCTTCCCAGTCCTACCCTGACACCAAACAAGGCATTTGCCTTCCTTGCTATGTCTTGATCTATATCAATACACTTTTTTGCATGGCCCCACAGGCCGGCCGGAGGGTATGCCGGGAGCTGAGAGGGTGTGTGCGTACGCGCCCTTACACTCTGCAGTGTTCAGCAGCTACCGGCTCTTGCGGTCGTCTTGTAGCCGTTCCTCAGCAGCCTGAACGGCCTCCCTCAGGTTCACATTTATTCTTCTCGACTCCAGGGCTGTCTCCCATTGCCCTCACTGCTTCTCGGCACTCTCTCTGACTACTGCTAGCTATGGCCAGGCTTGGCCCCTTCCCTTCTCCTCCTCTATGGCTCTGCCTGTTTTGGCTCTTGCCAAGGGTATGGTGCAGGGGTGGAGGATGCCATCAGTGGAACATTTCCCAGTAAAGGAGTTGTGGCACTATGCACTTTGCTTCTTTTCTTTTTTTTCTCTCTTTCACTCTCATCTCTTAGAACTATATATTTTTAGCTTTATGTTCCTCCCACAGCAATCATATCACATTTCCTGCAACAACCACCCATTATTGCCCTTTTCACATCCTTATCTAGGCTTTTATCTTCCATCCGTTTTCTCTCGAGCCCACTCATCTTCTACTGGGCCTTTCTTCTCTACCCTCTTGGTAGGTACTGGTTCGCATGCTTATATTAAGAGCCTGGCACCTTGGCCCTGTCCTACCCCAGCAATGTCCGGATTGTGATCCTGTTACCAAATTTTAAATGACCTGAAATCCTCACCTCCTCCTCGCTTCCATTTCTGGTGGTGCAGAAGTCTCAGCAGTCACTGAACAACGTGCTGCTGGGTGGCAGGTGCCACGCTTTCATAGATGCACTGGTGGGTGACCAGGCCTACCGCAGCCCAGGAGCAACTACGGTGTCAGCACGCCAGGGGCCTGTTCCCCATCTCCTGTTCGTGGTACCCTGGAATCACAGCTTAGCCCGGTGCGTGTCCCATGGGCTGTTACACCCTTCTGCCTGTTACTCAGGCTGATTTTAATTTGATTATGGAGCTGAGGGAGAACCTTGGGCTTGGGCATGGCAGAAGATTGGGACTCGGGGGCAGAATCACTCTGACTGTGGTTCATTTATCCTTTTCAATGTGGTCTTGGCCAAGAACCTTTCCCCCGAGGCAGGAAGGAGGCATGAGCTGCCCAGCTTACCGCCTATTTTTGTTACTTATCTAACAGCAGCAAAGCCCAGGAGCACCTGAACTGCAATATGTTTGTTTATAAACATCTTCCCTTGAGCCCTGCTGAGAAATTTGGATTGCTCTCTCGCATAAAAAGTAGCACTCTAAAACAAGATCAAACAACATGTGTAGAAAGTGGTAAACGGGGAGCCAGCTGAGGGAGAAGACTATTTTGTGAAATAGGTAGAAGCAGCTTTTGAGAACCAAAAAAA